GCTCAGAGACATCAGGTTAAGGCTCAAAAGGAGTGTCCACACACACACACACATGTGTAGATATTCTTTATTCTAATCGTAGATATGTCAAGTTTTAATTTCCTTTTTCCCACCTGCCTGATGTCCCCCCTAAGTTCATAGCTGCCCCGCTCTGCTGGCCAAACAAATAAAAGCAGCTGGCTCCGCAGTGTCACTGCTGCTCCAGCAACCATTACCCTGATAAGGGGATAATTTGCGCTGTCAAGTAGGACGAGGATAGAAAGGTCAGTCCCTGTGGTTCAAATGACTCACTGCCTTACCAATTTGTCCCCAAATCATGCAGCGATTAGCCTCACCCAGAGAATTTGAATCAGCCTGACAGGAGTGGGATAAGTAAGACGGTTCAGGACACGGATGCATAACTTATGTGCCGGCTGGCGTTGCATCCTTTCCCCAGAAGACAGACCGGCCACGATGGCCGTCTGAGACGTGTGTGCACTCAGCATTACTGTTGTTTGCCAGATTGGAGAGAGCGTGTTTGCTCAGCTGCTGTTTTTTTCCTTGAAACTGGCGAATGTGCAAGACGGCGTTTTATTGCTCATCATCCTGCTGCACTGATAGCAAATCTGTTCAGAGCTTCCAGTTTGTAGTCGAGTGTTGTGTCCTCCGCTGTGAACTGCACCCTCTTACAGCGATGCTCAAAAAGGAGATCTTGTGCCAGAGGGGGGGAACCGATTCTGCAGTTTTTCCAGGGTTTACATAGAAAGAAAGAATAGATAGACCAACTCATTTGGTGAAATAAAATGTACAATTTCATTAAAAAAGATTCAATGCAATCAGCAATGACACCTGAACATGTTGTATTTACAATAAGATTATTTGAAAACTAAGTAGTAAGTAATAGCAACGAGCAGTTAATTTACACATAGTGAAATAATAAATGAAGAATTTAAAAATAAATAGCTTATAGTATAAACAATTGAAATGGTTAGCTAAGAGTAATAGATTAACAGTTGTAATAGTACCAAACCAATTTCAACCAATGAAATAATGACGTCCATCCATCACTCTCCAACTTTCAGACACAAAGGGCAATTTAGGCCCGCCCCCTTTGTCCCGTCCAATCAAATGCGTAATATTTCACAATCTCATATCAGCTCTTCTGGGAATCGCTTCCTCGCGTCTCGGTATAATTAATGTCTGAATTATTTATCAAATTTAATGTGCATGAAACATCCACCTCTCAATCAGCCGTCACAGCACTGCGATGAATACGTGTGCTCAGCTAATCTGATTTCTTTGTTTTGGAGGCAATTAAATTAGACGGGCTACACCTGGACAAAGCTTGGAAATACTGATCAGGAGGCCATTTTAATGGCAGTGTACGGACATGCAGCGGCGTTGCATTACCAATATCCAGTGAATATGTACGATGCATCTGCAAACGATTGGTTTGCAGATGCACCGTGTGCTCACTGGAGATCATTTCCCCTTTCAGTGCTCCGATTGCGACAATGACAAGCTGACATCTCTTGAGTCACACACAAAAACGTTCTATGTTTAAAGTTTTGAGAACGATGGAAATCCAGAAGAGGAGCTGAGACTTCTTCGTGTGCCTGAACGTATGTTAATTCTCTGAAAATATGTAAATGATCTGGGCCACGAACTACACGTCTTCATTCTCGGGCTTCGAGTCTTTGAAGATTACTGAATGATCCTGCAGAGTATTTACTGGATGTGTTACTCAGGTAATCCAGAGAGAAGAAGATGGATTCATTTGATGAAGACTGCGGACCTTGTGAGCAACAAAAGGCCTTTTTGTGAGATCAAATACTTCAGTTTCATCGACATTTTCTGTTTCTATTTAACAAAGACAGGAAAATGTTGTCTTTGTCCCTCCCCCAAGGTCTCAACTGAATGAGTCCTTGAAGCAGAGCTGCAGCGACATTAAAACCAGTGCAATCTCGCACGAATGTATGATGAATAACACACATTTACAACAGAAGTAACCAAATATTCTTAAGTTTGTTGCAGAAAGAAACCGATTAAATAGGATCCCTCTTTCCTTAATCTTCACTCTTAACCTAAACTATTCATGTCATCGTCTTCACACACTGTAGCTGCAGCCAAATGAAGTCGCACATTACAGAAAGGCCTTCCCCAGGCACTGCTTCTTACTTATTAAAGGATCAATCCAATATTCATAAGGTCGTGTAGCAGTTTGATTCCGACGGGCCGTAAATGGTTCTGTCCACCTCGCTGACTCTTCACCTAGAGAAGTGTCTCGCGAAGACACTCAAAGCTGCTGAGGTGCATATCTGCTCACGCGCGCTGAGTGATTTTGTACTCACGGCGGTGGGATTGTAATTCAGAAGGTTTGCGGAAGTCTTGGTGGGAGAACCCAATTAGGATGGCGAGAGGGGGCACGTAATGAGATTCTGTCACTGTGTAATGGAGTGACAGGGCTCGTAATAAGACGTGTTGCGCTTTGTCTCTGAGCAGATTTCAATCGTTGCCCCGGGAAACGCAGCCTGCTTTAAAAAGCGGATGCAACACCCTCCCCTGCTGGTTAGATCATTGGAGAAAAGCGCCAACTAATTTCTACTTTCCACAATTAATGTACAATAACATTACCATAAATGATCTATGTAATATGTTGGTTGATGTAACGCTGCCTCATCAATTAGTCCAAAATAAATGAAGAAAGGAAGAAAGAACCATGAACATTTCTGTTTTTACAGACCGTCAGTTTTCAGCGCTGAAATCTTAAATGAAACATAAATACGGGCTTATTATAACGGTATTGTTCACTATTTTCTCATGCAAAGTAACACAAGCGGTTTGGTGTCCCCCCCAGCTCCCCAGGGCGGTGTCTTGTTCTTTAGCAGCTATGGATAACTGTGTGTGACTGTCGTGCAACAGTCAACCCTGTAAAACCCTATTGCTCGGGTTTATAGCAAACGTTTGAAAATATGTATTTTTGTTTAATTACTTTATCCATTTTCATACTGATGAAAATGGAGTCGATCGTTGAAAAAAGTCCTCTGAGATATAGTTGAAAAGGCTTGGCTGGATCTGGAAATAACCGCTTTTCCAGTGAAGACATTTATTTCTCAGACAACTCATCTTACATTTCTCGGCCTGGAAGGACATCAAAGAAATAAAGAGCACTTGAACTGATGCATTGTGACGTTGTGAGAAAGCAAAGAGAGGAAAGCAGTCGGGAGAGCTCAGTGCTATTTACCGAGGCCGCCCAGAGCGAGCCGGTGGCCACGACACAGCTCATATCCCCGTGTAAATAACGCCGGCTCTGACCTCTCGTATTGATCAAAGGGAAACTTTAGAAATAAGAAAGTTCTCTCCAATCACCATTGGGACACTATCAGTTAGGTAAAAATAGAATGTGGCTATTTTCTATTTAAGAGATGACAGTTTTCTCCCGCTTTGCAGTGTTTCGCGCGTTTTACATTTAAATGACTCTACCGATGTCAAGAGGTCAAACCACGGCACAGCTGAAGCCTCGCAGACCATAATTGATCTCTCGATCCGCCGGATCGACCAAGCCAACGGCGCCGCGCCGCACGGAAAGCTACGGTTCGGTTGCTCATCGACTACGGATGAGCATCTGGTCCATATGGATGTGTGATGTGATCACCGTGCTCCCTCGCCGTGTTTCCTCCCGCACACAGATGACACATCTGCATCCGCGGTGCACGATCGGGAGCCTAACTGTAGATCACAGTTTAAAGTTGTTTATTTAGGGGCTGTTTGATGCAGCTGAATCCGATGGAGTTGACTGCTCTGATAAGAGACCCAGGTGATTTACGAATGGGACACAGATGCCTACTTCATTAGACGTGTGGATTTGCTGAGAGTCTCTAAAAGGGAAACATCTAGTTCTATATGCTGCGATATGTACATTAAATAATGTAACATTAAGGCGCAGAGGCCACATTCTCATTAGAAGAGTTTACTTCCCCAAACAAAGGTAAACAGTGTTAAAAAGTGTTGTGCAGAGAGTCTCGAGGAAGCCATCAATTGATCTACGGAATAATACAACAAAACAGAATGCATAAGAGCATTATTGCATTATATCCCATTATTTTTTACTTTTTTTGTGTTGTCACGTGGTGCCTGAACTGAACAACCAGGACCTTGAATGACTGATTACTCGGCGTTGACTACGGAGAGACATTTCTTTATCATTTAATGTATCGGCAAACGAATGAATGATTCCCATCTCCCCGGAAAATGATGAATATTTCAGCATTTCCCAATTAAAAGAGCCATATAAATGAATGGAAATCATCCATTTCAAAGCTAATTTCATGGCCTGACTGAGTTGAGAAAATAGTCGAAAACACACATGCTTGTTTGTATGCTTATATGACTTTTCTACAAATGATGTACAATTTAATTAAATTAAACCATTTCTCAAGCGCAATTTACTGACAGAGGAAATAGATAAACATATTTAAATCCATCACCACAGTATTATGTCTGTGTGAAGAATGGTGTGTGATTTATTCTTTCCACCCCTCATTTATCTGACTTTATAGTATGTTCACACAGTACTAGGACGTTATTATGTTTTACAATTCAAGTAACTAACTGAATATCCTCTGATGTCTGGAAAACCGCCTTCCTCTTTTGGAGCACTTTTGTCTCAACAGTCACAAACAAGAGCAGAATCAACCACTGACCCCAAACCAGCGACTTTGCAGAGGAACTAAACTGATTAAGTGGAGCCGCACTCTGGCTTTTATTTCAAGTGACCTTACCAGACGCAGTTTGAATACCACCAGAGAATTTGGGCTTGAGTTTCCTTTCTGACCTCCTGCCCTCTTAAAATTGTCTTCAAAATGAATCGCAGTCCCATTTTATGCTTTAATATTTAATGAATGTTGGTTTAACCATCGCAGTAGGCGACACACAAGCTGCTGGTGTATTTTAAAAGGCTGAAATAACACCAGCTGTTTAAATTTGAAAACGCAAAGAAAAATATGTACCCGCAGACACACTTCTGATTGTAAATAATTTATTATCCAGCACTTGCAGTATGAAGTTTTATATTCACTTTATGTAAGTAATAATACATGAATCCCCGGATGTCAACCTGTCATTCCAAAATATACATTTTTACATTTTAATGAATCAGTTTTCAAAGAAAGAGTCCAAAATCGATCTGTCACCCATGGTTATTATGGGCTAATGCAAACTGAGCTAAAAATAGTTAAAATTGTACGGTAGAAATTATAGAAATAAAATGAGCATTCAGATAAACAAACAGTTAGTAAATTGGTAGGCAAAGTATGTTTTTTAAGCCATCTCGGGTTGATTGACTGCCTCAGTTACTGTTGATATGCCTGTCAAGTTTGTACTTTCGCAACAGTCATATAAACGTTCTTAACTGTCTGCAACCGTAAGATTTTTCAAGCGGTTTCATAGCTAATTGTAAGGCTACTAAGGCATGTAATGCAACTTGGCCTTCAGCTTGTAAGCCAGACAACTTGTAGCAGCTCACTCTGAAGCATATAAACTCGCCTTTTCATCCTCACACCTATACTCCGGTCATCTTTATCGATGAGTGGATCTCTTACGGAAGAGATCCACTCAACAGAGCCACTGGATTTTGCAACCATTGTCATAAACTTGAAAAAGTTCACCCTCATCCTCATCGTTGCTGCTCGGTCGTGTCTTGTGAATCGATTCGCTCGGGTCCCGAATGGTTGAGGGCAAACTTTGCGCCTCCTTGCTTTCATCGTGCATTAAGTCTCCCCGAAAAAAGCTTACGCTCGACCGACCCGCAGCACCTTACAGTTGCTAAGCTGTGACGGGACAAGGGGTTTATTCAGGTCGGCCTCATTCATCACCGCCACTTTTGTGCTGCAGATTGAATTTAAAAAGTGGATATATTAAAGTCTTTGATGAAACTCTAAGGACACATATGAAAGAAGAAGAAGAACCAGGGCAGACGTGTCAGAAGTCAGTGGGGGAGGGAGGGGGCACAGATGGTGATCTATCAAAAATGACTCACAGTGTGAGCGGATGGATGGCTTATTGGCGTTGTCCTTCCACTTGTGGCAAAAGACAACTTAGTAGTAAAGAGCCCGTGAGCAAATGTAAAATACTGGCCGAAATCCACAGAAAAAAACTAAAACTGATATCACAGTAGTTTTTATTTGTATGAAATGCCCATAAAGCCTGATTAAATTGTCCGAAGTCTCAAAGGTAGCCTCCAGGAGTCAGCGGTCCGCATTCATTCTGCGCAGTTTGGCCGGCAGGTTGTCCTCCTGCCGACTCCCTACGAAGAAGATCTGAACTGGGGCTGTGGTCGGAGCGTCGGCGGTGCTGACGGCCGCCGGGAGTCTGCTTTTCTCCAGCTCGGCCTCCCGGGCCTCTCCACCTAAGGACAGCAGCTGGAGCTGCTCGTCCGGCTGCTGTCCTTGCCTCCCGACCGGGATGGAGCTCGACCTCAGCCTCTGGATGCTAAGCGGAAGGTCTCCCGTGCTGGAGGCCTTCCCCCCGGGCAAGGCCGGCCCCGTGTTCAACCCCCTCCTGTGGAGCTCCTCCTTCGTGGAGCTCATGCGCTGGAGTTTGCTGGGCAGCCTGGAGGCCTGGTCCTCGCCGTGGTCTGCGTAGTCCGCCGACAGCAGCCTTTCCCTGCGGCCTCCGCGGCCGCCGTTGCCCGGCTGAGGGGAGGAGGGGGCGACGGGGAGGGAGTTGGGCGACGTCAACAAGGACTTCTCCTCCTGCTCTTTGACGCTGCAGGGAGGCGTGTTGACCGCAAAGGTGTTGTGGAACTGGGAGTAGTCCACTCTGAAGAAGCCCTCCTCCAGGGACATGACGGGGAGGAAACGATGGCCCCACAAAACTTCGTCTTCGGTGTAAGATGTCCTCGCCTGGCACGTCATACCTACATAAAAAGAGAAGAAACAGTTGTATTATTAGTATTTGTTTAAAAAGGAAAAAGGAGAAAAGACTCGGAGTAATAATTTGCTCTAACCGGTGGTTTCCACGATGCCCTCAAGAATGACAACGATCTCAAACTCCTCGTTCATTAGTGAGCGCTGCGACAGATCAAAGAACGGGCTCTTGGCGTTGATCTCATGGCAGATGGTTAGAGGCGACACCAAGAAGAGCTGGTCCGCCCCCGTCCCGAAACCCACGTCCAGCTCGCACTGGTCCAGAGGCAGGAACTCGCCCTCCGGCGTCTGCCGAGACTGGAAACACACAAATGATCAGGACATTTACCAGTTTGCAATCTCCTTTAATGAGGATCATTCAGGATCATTCGGCGTTTAAAGATGAATGTCAGATATTTTTTTTAATACCCCAAAACACACCAGCGGGATGGAAAAGCTTGTTTTCTCTAAAAAAAATCCTCTTCATCATAGCCGGAAGATGTAAAAACCATAAATGTTATTGTGAGATTGTCAGTGAACACGTCATGTCTGAGGTAGGTTATGTCAGAAAAAGGAACCAAAATGTATTCTACGCTGTAAAAATACAAAAATCAAAAAATGATAAACCAGCTAAATATATATATATATATATAGCATCTGGAGACCATTTAGTAACACCTGTGGTGCAGACTAACCCACATGTTAGATGTATAAACCCTCTTGTTTACATTTTTTTGTAAAATAAATTATCAAAGAAATGTAGCCTTTTTGTTTTATGGCACTGTAACTGTAACTTTATGACACAAAATACATTTTGCAGATCCCATAGAGGGGCAGAATTTATACACTGCAGATAAAATCACGGCCAGAGAGAAAAAAACGTGAGACAAATAAAAACTCCCATAAACTGCTTTGGGGTTCGGAGGGTTAAAATAACAGGCAGCTTTTTTCCAGCCTGTTTTCCCGCTACATTCTGAAATTACTTCCACCTTTCTGGCTTTTGCTGTTTTATTTTTACTTAACTTTAGGAGACATATTCAGGGAGCACCGATCCCTGCTGCCGCTCGGCGGGGGACTCCGTCCCTCAACAAGTCAGGGACCTGTGCGCACAGACGTCTTCCCGTGAAATGTCACGCCCTTCTTTCCTCGACATCGCTGTGAATACAAATTGCCAGTTTGTTTGCCATCTGCGGGCCGAGTGGCTCTTCGCTCAATGGCCGCCGAGGTTACTCCGCATTAAAGTCATCGGGAGGCGGCGAACTATTTGAACGCAGACAGTAACACCTACTTTAGGTGATGAATATGCAATTTTTTTTACTGGTGTTGATGGTGGAATTCAAAGGGGGTCGGAGCAGGGTTTTTTTTTTTTTATTCTTGGCCGTGTGCAAGAAACAACCATGTTTTCATTTTGTAAATCATTCACCCCTAAAGTATCATCTTCAGTTGACAGGGAAAGAGGTTTTATAAGCTCATTGAGAAGTTCAAGGCTTCTCCCTAATTCCTTGTTTTAATTCCACAGCGAAAGGAGCACTTCATACCAGGGAGGGTTTTAAAGGGCTCCGCTGGCTACGACGTTAGTGTCTCAAAGTTCAAATGTTTGCTCTGACAGAGATGTTGGAGACCAAGGCAAACCAGCACAAACGCAGCTGGTCACAGGTGTGCATTTAGGTAGCATTATTTTGCAGCATCCATCAAGAAAAAACAAGACCCTATCGCCTCTGGTCCAGAGGCTTGTTATGCCTATTGTGCTCTTAATTTAACTCAGTCTTAGCTTACGATCCGGTTTCATGTGGAACTGTGTCTAATCGCCCTCTCAAACACTTCCACGCATTAGCAGACGCTGGCTGCACAGCAGTTATCCCCGGGGTCTGAAGACCACTGACGCCACGTGGATACAACAAAACTGCAGCATCTCGACGGGCAAACATGACGTTTGAATCATTTTACGGTAAATCTTTCCATATTGCCGTTGATCTTCTCTTTTGGTAAAAAAAAAACAACCTTCCTTTTGTCTCCAGTCAGTAGGAGGAACACGTGAAATCCTTCTTGAAAAAAGCCCGTTGTGATTATATGTCGGTTGATTCATTTCACCAAACCCTTTCAACAGGCCAATTGTCATGGAGATACTGCAGGCAAGTGTCCCATTTGTCTGCCAGTCTAACACAAGTTAATGAGATTGGAAAGCAATATCCCGGGAAGACATTTTTAAAGCAAATCCTAATTATGAAACTCCTATTTTTCACAGACAGACACAAGTGGCCCCTCTGCTTGAGGCTTGAATGGTTTAAACAAGGGGAAAGCTCGGTGTTCTCTTACTGCTAAACAGTCACTGCCACGAGGGGGAAATGAATGGGCTTTGGAAAAGGTCCTGCTTAAGAGGGAGCGCTTAATTTACCGAGCCACCTGAGACTCAGGTTGAGTGAAAGCAGGCCCTTTCCCTCGTGAGTCACTTCCTCCTCAGTGACAGTGTGTGTGTGTGTGTGTGTGTGTGTGTGTGTGTGTGTGTGTGTGTGTGTGTGTGTGTGTGTGTGTGTGAGAGAGAGATGCAAAGAAACACACAAACAGTCAGGAAGAAGTGTGTTGTTGTTGTTGTTGGGGTTTTCTGTGTTTGTGTCCAGCTGTGTTTGTGTCAGGACATGAAGTCACAAATGAGCCACGGTTCCCGATCTCTCGACACATAATCCGTCTGTCTTTGTCCTCCTCTCTTCTTCTGCAGCGCCCTCGGGAGTTAACCGGTAGCAAAGGAGGCGAGTCGTGCTCACGCCACGGCCGCCTTACTGCTGCCGATCGCTTATCTCCGGCTGAGGGACAAACTATTGAGCCGAGCATCTTTCCCAATCTCAACATTTTGTTCTAGAATATTTGTTTGCGTTCCTTTAGATGACCATCATACTCCGCCAGTGCTGCAGGGGTCAGCGCACCCACTGCATTCTGTTGATTTATTCATGAAAGCTGCAAGATTAATCATTTATATTCAATGACAGTTATCTCTTTAAGTTGGTGTGCATTATGAATGGGGAGAAAATGGACGGTTGGCTCAAGGAATATTGTTTCCACTGATGACAAAGTTCGTTATGGAACTCAAACTGCAATAAAAAAAAATAGCATCTGATGAAACGGCTGCGTCCTCCTTTCGTGTAAATCAGTTTTTTACTACAAAACTGTCTCTCCAAAACGTCTTGTAGGCAGGTGCGTGTGATCATACACTCTGCCTTTAATGAACTAAGAGTTTCACAATCACTTGTACTACTTATTTTATTGTAACAGCAACATTTGGTCACTGATCATTTGAGTGGGCAGCGTGCAAAATGTTTTGGCTCATAATATTTAATAAAAACTCGGCAATATCAGGGTGAACACTGTTGTTGATAGAAAACTGAAAGACATACTGTTTGTGGGTCCGATTCTATCACCGTTTCCAGGATCATTATAAAACTAATGGAAACAAAATAAAGTTGAATAGAGCCGGAATACTGCACCAAAATACGCTTCACTATAATTCTTTTACTCATCCTTCTTTTAAGCCGGTTTGCTGAAAGGCTTGCTGTAATAACAAATGTTAGAAAGTGATTCTACGTATTATCATTTCGTCGCTATTTAAACAGCATGAGTGCTGCGCAATAATATGACCGACTTCACCCACGTATCCAGGTCCCACAAAGATTTACAGCCCGGAAAATAGATCCTCCTTGTCAGAGTGCGTTTACAGCTCCGTCGTTAGGATCTACTGCGCCATGTCTCCTTTCCACAGTCGGCTTTGCGGGAGTCCCATCTGACGGTGACCTTCAGCCGCGCATCGCCTGCACACGAGCCGCGGCGATGTTTCCCCGAGGCGCATAGTCCTCCGGGTTGATGTACAGTATTTTGCGTTAACACTACAATAGCCCACTTTAGTCCGATGCCACGGTGCTGTAGTTATGAGCCCAATAAGACACATACGGCGTTTATCCTGCACACTGTAGCCCTCCTTGGCAGCAGATTTCATCAAAACTCAAAATAAATCAACGTCTCATCTTTAAATAAGGTGGCATGTGTTTAGAATATTGTCCTACGGCCCATGAAACACATGAACCTGAGAAAGTGCAGCTCAGAAAGCACAACTTGACGCTGTTTGTCCTCGGGGTCGTTGGCACGTGCACGTGACGCTTTTTAGCAGATAATTAGCAAAGTCCCGGCTGTCTGACCTTCTTCCAACGCGCGAATAACTGCTTAGAGGTGATTTAATGAAATATCATCCTTTACTGGCAGAAATCCCAGATCAGCACCATGACATAAGTGATCTTTGAAAGAGAGACAAGGCCTGGAAAAACAGATGGGTGAGAAGAGCAAACGTTCCCCTTCCCCGGTTATTTTTTTTATTCTCAGGCATAGATTAATTTACGTCTTAAAACATCCCCTGGAGGTACGGGCAAGATGGAGCGAGGTGCAGTGTAGCTCAAGTATACTGGTTATCTCTGCAACGGTGCTGCAGCAGCACCGCCTGTTCATGTGCGAATCGGACGGGCTCTGGGCAAGTTTTCCCCTTTTCTACTTCAAATAAAGACCATCATCTCAACTCTCCTAAGGATTCGCCTGTGAGAAAAACAATCTGTTGGGGCTCCATGTGCTCGTGATTTTACTGAGGCGGTATCTGTAATATTGGTGAATAGACTATTTGGATCAGGGTCGAGCATGACAGCATGCCCCATAAATGACCTTCTGCTTTTGGTCACCATTAGAAGAAGAAGGTATCACTTCATTTTAACTATTGGCCTCTGGAGAGGGAGAAAAGTTATTATGCTGTGTTGTATTAAAGGCAATTAAAACAAACTATTTTGTGTGCCTTGCTGGGATTTTAATTAAAAGGTCAATTATAATTTAAATTAATTTAAAACTACCCCAAGCATTAAATACAGCAACATTAATAAAATACTAGGTGCTTTCTGGTGATTCTCCCTTTAGGACCAGAAAGTAAACTGTCAGTTGAGATTATCTCGCAAAGCAGCTCTTATACTCCTCCCTGTCAAAGCACCGCTGCCCTTTACATGTGCACTGTATGTGCAAATATGTACAGTAGGCACACGGCGTCCAGGACACATCCAGCTGCTGAAGTATAGTTTCTGCAGGGGGGGGGTGTAAATGGTTACTCATTAAAATGGCCCACGTCTTATGTTGGAGCCTCGTGTAGAAACAAAGCCCCTGCAAATCACAGTGATCCTCGGGGGAATGCAACCAATTCTGGAGGTGAATGGAAATGCAACGCATGACTTGAGGCGCCCCCCTAAAACACATTGAGCAGTTTTAAAAAGCAAACGAAGTGGCTGCCGATTAAGCTCAGCCTCGATCCCGTCAACGTGTGCCAAAAAGCGCTTCCCCGGTTGACTTTGGACACGGCGCGCGCCTTCGGCTGCGTAACGTACCTTGATGAGTTTGCACCGGATCTGCGCAGACACCATGTGGCTGTTCCGCAGGTTCCCCACTCGGAACATGAGGCACAACTTGCCGTCCCGCTGCGAAATGACCGCGTCCTGGCTGAACATCAGCGTCTCGGCGCGCTTCTTGGGCTGCGACATCTTGATGAACATGCAGCCGATGAGAAAGGCGTCCACGATGGACCCCAGCAGCGACTGGAAGAGGAAGAGGATGATGCCCTCCGGGCACTTCTCCGTGATGTAGCGGTGGCCGTAGCCAATAGTCGCCTCCGTCTCGATGAAAAACAGGAACGCGGAGGGAAAGTTGAACACGTTGGCGACGCACGGCGTGTAGGACGCGTCGTGGCCGCCGTGGCTCAGGTCGCCGCGGATGTACGCGATCACCCACCACATCGAAGCCATGACCAGCCACGCGACCGTGTAGGTGAGGATGAAGATGAGCAGGTTCCAGCGCCACTTGAGGTCCACCAGCGTGGTGAAGAGATCGGAGATGTATCGGCTCGTCTCCCCGCCAAGGTTGCCGTGCTGGACGTTGCAGCGGCCGTTCTTCTCCACGAACCGCTGCCTCTTTTTCTTCACCTGCGCGGAAAAGGTCATGTCCTGGTTGGTGTTTACCACCTGGTGGTCCTCGCCAAATTTCCTCCGTAAGGCTGCCATGGCGTCAATCGCCCCGCGGCAAGGCAGTGGCTGCTTGCGAAGGAGCAGGATCTTTGCGCAACTTTGGTAACCGCTGCCCAAACCCATGCGGGAACATTCAGGGCGCAATCGTGGAGGTGGAGACGCGCTCCTCTCCTCTAAATGACTCGCAGCAGAGCGGAGATTCTGCGCCACGCATGATTCAGACTCCTTGTCCTTCGCGCAAACGAGTATTGGCAACTTTTCGTTCAGGTCTCATCCCAAGGAGGGATGAAAAAAAAGAAACAAAAGAAAATACGCACCGTCGGCATTGAGTTGAAAACAAAAGCTGCCCCCAAACAGCTCGGTTCAACGGCGGTGTCCTTGGTTGGTCCAGGTGCTGCTTCAATGGACCTGTGAAAGTGAATAGCGCATTTCTGCTGTAGAGAAGCGCTCTGGCACCACTGAAGGCTGTAGACGAATTACAGCCAGGGGGCGAGTTCCTATTGCAAGGTTTGGGGGGAGAGTGAGGAGGGGGGGTTGTGGGTCCAGGGAGGGATTTTTCTTCTTTTTTTTGGCGTGTTGACCGCGGAATAAACCGTGGGCATCTTTTCATTCGTCTTTTATTATTAATAGTAGTTTAAATATGTGTGTTCTCGTTGTCTAATTATCCCAATCGTGGGGAAACACAATACTATGAAATGTGTTCTTCTCTGCATCCGTGGAAGCTATTTGGTTCCCCCTAGTGCTACTGCAGGGAAAGTAAACCCAAGCAGATACATTTAAATGTGACCGTTGTGCACTGGAGGAGGGTGGTCCAATTAAACAGCCAGCCTCACAATTAAGTCATAATATTCATAATATCTGATAATATGATCAGATATTATAAATATGACATTATGATTCTGTTTGTTCTCCTCCATATAAAGATGGCCTCGCACCTCTGTGAAAGCAGGCAGTGGCACCCTGTCGCAAGATGAATATCAAGTTTAAATGTGCAGACAATTTTCCTCTTCAATTTTTCATCAAGACACAAGTCAGTTGTAATTTGTCCTGATGGCCCACAGGAAATGAGGTGATCCGTGTGGGCAGTAAATACATGTGTGAAAACAAAATGGGAAGAGGCATTTTACAAAAGTGTTGGGATTTTGACACAATGACAACATGGATTTCTGTATGAAGACATGGGATGTCGTAGTTGACCAGCAGCAGAATCAGATTGAAGTTTTTTTTCACATTTTTTACAGAAATATGCTATGATTCATACATCTGCTATGAGTCAAATCAATGTAGTCGCATTCATCTGTTGTTTTATTATTCAGCTCCTCCGAAGTAAATGCCATGAACACATGAACGTGCATTAATCTCATAACTGGTCATAGTATGATAACGAAAAACCACATGTGTTGCTTAGGGATTTAAGATGGAATATTTTCTCAGTCATGCACACTGTGGAAACAATATAAACGTCTTGAAATCAGATTTTGACACGGCACTCTACAATGTGGGGCCACAACATAAGGTCCTAAGGCGGGACTCACTTTGATTGATTTTTACCGCAATGGTGCAAATTCCCTCGGGAAATTATGACATAAATCAAATGACCTTAAATCTATTCACAGTGAAGCAGTGTGGGCGTTCTGGAACTCTGTGTGGCGGTTGTCTGTAAGGGCTGTATTTTTATGTGTGGATACGCCAGTCTGACACACCAGATTGGTTTTGAAAGCAGTACTGGCTTTTAACTGCAAAATGTGCCCAATGCACATTACAAACAGTCTCCTCATCAGAAATATTATGCAGCTTGGTGTGTTTTTTTTCGTTTCACTCGTGGCAGGCCATTGTCTAAAAAACATAAAATGGTATTTATGTTTATTTTGATTGTGGCCCTGCCTAATCTCTGACTGTTACCTGAGCTGATCTGACCTGAGTTGATGTAGATTATGAATCTATATCAACGGATTGAATTGAGGTATTTCATTTGGTCTATGTGCAAAAATAAAACCTGTGCAGGCCAGAGTAGAAGCCATTGTTGAATAAAGAACATTAAGAATAGTGTGGAGCCATAATTAAAACATACAATTTACACCAGGGTATATTCAATCTCTCTCTGTGTGATACAGTCTCCAATTTGACTTTATTTTATTCATCGGGATCTCAAGTTGATAAAACAGGGTCGACCCAATGGACAGAAAACCCAAATCTTTAACATACCGTAACACCTACTAGTGTAAAAAAACAACAACAGAGACGATAGCTCCAATTAATAAATCAAATAGATAATTCATACTTCCAAGCACCAAGTATGTGACTAAAGGACAAACAACAAAAATCCATTGAACGGTGCCTCTGCTTTTGACCATTTTTTCTTTGTATTTTGTTTTTAACTTAATGTGTATTGTGGTTTCACTCATGTCATGTATAGGTGTTTTATGGCTCTTTTTAAACGACGTGTGCTGCTGCCTTCTTGGCCAGGTCGCCCTTGAAAATGAGATCTCGATCTCAATGCGACTTTTACCTGGTTAGATGAAGGTTAAATACAAATAAATAAAATTTATTCTTACATAAATCTGACTCAACAGTTATTACTACAGTACTACAGGGAATTATGTAAGCCTACTACCCGCGTTTAAGGAGAAACATTAACGCAACATTAAAGCATCTTATCTTTTGCAAAGACAAAGCGTTGCGCGACGCGACGCCACGTCTCTTTCTCTCTCTCTCTCTCGCTCTCTTAATTACGTCGTCAGCTCATGTTAAATGTGCCGTTGCCATAGCGCAACAAAAAAAGACCTCTCTCTCTCTCTCTCTCTCTCTCTCTCTCCCCCAAACCACCTCTCGCCTGTCTCCTCTCGCGACCCGTCCGCGTGCGTCACCCACAATTCCCCGCGCCAGGACAAGATGGACGAAAGCAGCGACCGCCGGAGAACAATGTTTTGGCAATAAACCCCCCCCCCCTTTCTCCCTCCCCTCCCCTCAACCCCCAGAAAGCGACGAATACGGAGGGAATACAGGCACGTCTAAAACCATCTGCGGTCATGTGTAGGTGAGTGGGAGACCAAAAGGGGCTTCTAATTCGTGTGCAAAACGCTCGCGCTTTCGTCGAGGTCCACGCGACGTGACTGTCCGGCTCGAGCGCTCGCTGGTTAGATGCGCGAGAGAGCCAGCATCATTGTTTCTGTCGCACGGGGGCCGTAATGCGGGTTTGTGGGAGACGGAGCGAGCTAGCAGCTAACTAGCTAGCTCGTGGCAGCTCGATTGTTATAAACACAGCTGCTTCGAAGCGTACTTTTTTTTTTTTTTTAGCCGGGTCGCTGGGCGTGAAGTCCGCGCGTGCCGCCGCTGTTTCGATGTACCGGTGAGCGCTGTCCGGTTGTAATTAAAGCTAAGGTTAAGCTAACAGTCAAGCGTCGCTCGCAGCCAAGACTGGTTTGATTTCACGAGCGTCATCAAAGCTTGGATATTGGAGAATGAACAATTTATGCTGTTGACCTGACCAATATGCTAACGTGTTGTTTTAATTTTACTTTACCCATACTTGTATGTTTTTTCGGCTGCTTGGGTCCCGTTGCTTGGGTTTTGTGATGTTTACCTCAAGAAAATAGTCGTTTAAATAGAACATATATGCGTTAAAAGCTTGAAATTATGAACCCCTTTAGCATGGCTAGCGTTTTAGCATCGCTATGTAACACGCTAAACGATACGTTGCATTGATCATACCGGTTCAAATCTGACCTATTAACGACATGTGCGGCTCATTTGTGACCACGGAACTTCGAGTGAATAATTTACTTTATTTATAATACATATCTGGGATTAAATTGTGTCTCGGCGTATTGCTTTGATGGAAGACGTAAAGGTGCGTTGATTGTGTCTCATTGTGGCTAACCAAACCAACTTAGCTTGCTATGCTAACTAGCCTGCTAACTATTATGCATCACAAAAGCTCCTCCGCTTGCTGTAGGATTTGTCACGTAGCCTAATTGTCGGCCGGTCTAGACTAAACAGTAAATTCTCATTCCTGCCTTCTGAGTCGGAACCATTGCCTCCAGCGTTTTCTCTCAAGTTGGCTCCTTGGCCGGAGACGATGAGCGTGCAGCATGCATCAAAGTGCGAAAACAATAGGGATGTATTTCCGACCGCGATCACATCAGTTTGGTTCGGCTGCAGTCCGAGACACATGTGCTGCTAAATGCCACTAGCTGAACAATACGAGATGGGATTGAATATTTTTAAGAAGCAGGTTCTTCTTTCTTCTCCCATTTGGTTGAACTGAATTTACAGAAACGTTCAGGTTCTGAAACTTGTGCCTTCACACAACACAGAATATTGGATCTATTTCATTCATAGTGTGGTTTGTCTCTCTGGAACTTTAATCACATTTTGTATTCTATAGTTATGGTCCTGCCTTTATCGTCCATTGCAGATAATGTAAAATTAAGAATATATAGATTCAACGTTATATCCTTGTCTTCCATTTAAAACGAGAAAAGATTCATTAATATTATCTTACATTACCATAATGACGTTTATTGTTATTGACAATACTATGTTCTTTCATAATGGTTAACCTCATTTAGTATGAAAATATTTCCATTGTAATGATTCATTCTCCTTAGGCCTGTGCCAATTGCCTCTAATAACCATAATATTTATATTTATTTAGTTACGTGTTCAGTGTATTAAGTGGTTTGTATAATCTTTTAATCTACACTTTTGTTCCAAACATTTCAATGTGTATGAAGGGATAGGCCCATATGTTTCAATAGGCTCTGCTAAATTTAAAACAAAGTTTCTCAAAGTAAAGAGTTTTTCTTAATTCTAAGGTGACTGAAAAAGTTTCATGTGGGTTTCCATCCCTGTAAGCAGTGCTTCCGCTTTTTAAGCCTAATAAATCCAATTAAGTAATTAATGGGTGACAGAACATTCTACTCCACACAGTACACACAAAGCTATGTAGCAGTGACTAAATTTACTTCACTGGGAAGCCTGACTAGAGAGACTTAAAACCATTCTACAAAATGTGACCGTTACTTTGTATTTGTTTGTATACTTCATGTCTGAAATCATTAATACTTACCAAGACTTAATTGTATATATCTCCCCTCTCTTTCAGGATATTCTTCTTCTGCATTCTTCTTTAGACATTTAGGCATTCTGCACAAAGCAAAACCATCACTATGAGTATTATCCAAGACAAATTAGGCAATGAGTTTTTGCGCAACGGTGGCATGGATCCCAATTTTGCCCCAGGTATGCTTATGTTCAGCCACCTGCCGCCTGTCACCAGCTTTACACGGCTGGCCTCCCAGTCCGTCATGGGCGAGCTTCCTCAGGAGATGATCCTGAAGAAAGAACGCGACTCGCCGCCAGAGCACCAGGGCGCCACCGCCTTGAATACGGGGGGCTTCCTCCACAGCATGGGCATAAAGCAGGAGCGGCTAAATGAGTTGGATTACCGCATGCCGCTCTACGGCGGGGGCGGAGGAGTTGGGGTGAACTGTGCCGAAGGGGCCGCGGGGAAGAGTGGCAACGACATGCCGGACATGTCTTTCGGCAACCACCACCATCACCAAAACCATCAGAACATGCTTCTACACGACCTCAGCCTCAGCAACGTCCGTTCCCTTGGAGAACAGGTGAGAAGGAATTGTGGTTCTAAATGTTGTTTCAGGGTAGATATCGCTAATATTTAACGATCATTAACACATAGTTGTTTCCACTGGCAACAGTCCGTATTTGTCATTTCTAGAAGTTAACTTTTTATCCGTCCTCAGATGCCCGGAAGACCGGGTAAAGAACCGAAAGAGCCTTCAGGGAGAAGAGGGCGAAGAAACAACGGGGATGGGCAGGGAGGCAAGGCACGGAGGAAACGCAGCGACGCTGCAAAGGTTATATCTGTTTTACTCATTTCCTTCATTACAGCAGAAAAGCGATTTGTGCACATAATTTACTCAGTTGGACTTAATCACATCTGCGCCAACATGTCTAGTAAAAGTCGACGGTATCTTACATATACTCATCCATTTTTCCCCTCCTAGGCCATGATGTTGGATGCAGATGGAGCCTGCATGTCCCCCAACTCAAAACCACATATCTGTGAGCACTGCAATGCGGCCTTCCGCAGCTCCTACCACCTGCGCAGGCATGTGCTCATACACACAGGTGAGAGAATTTCGCTGCTTGTCAAGGCTAATTAACAAACACGTCACTTTCAGAAGATGCAAGCATTGAATTCCACTCGTTACTACCCTCCACTCGTACTTATTGGGGCCTTGGGCTCACTTGAAACCAGACAATCGCTAAAGCCAGAGATGATTCAACGGTTACTCATGTATTTCTGGGCTTCTTAGTCATTCTTTTTGCTGGGAAATCCTCACTGGGCTTTTTGAACTTTTACTCATGAATGAATTAAAGTCTCTTTTTACAACCTCTGTTTACGTTAAACCCATTCCCTTGTTTAGTCATTCTTTCTTTCAGCTTTATCTGGCATAAGTATGTCTAGAGTATCGATATATCGCAAACCTGTTGTGTTCCCATTCATTTATCTTTTGAAGGGCTTCAGTGCTGTTGTAAATACACATCACACATTGTTAGAGTTGAACAGATGATCTCTTTTTCATGTGTATTCATGCACCATTTGTTGATTAAATGCCAGAGGTTCATGTCTCATGGTGGCCATATGGTAAACACAGCTATGAGACGGGCTGGTAGTTAATTAATGTGGTGAGCGGATTGTTGTACTCTTGATCGCACAGGGGAGAGGCCTTTCCGGTGCAGTCAGTGTAACATGAGCTTCATCCAGAAGTATCTGCTCCAGCGGCACGAGAAGATCCACAGTGGTGAGTTTCAGCACGTGACAAGTGTTTTGGGATGGACGAGTATCCGTTCGTATGAACCCTTTGTTGTGACACAAGGTCTCGCCTGTCTCTTCGCAGGAGAGAAGCCTTTTAGCTGTGACCAGTGTAACATGCGCTTTATCCAGAAGTACCATATGGAGCGACACAAAAGGACTCACAGCGGCGAGAAGCCATATCGCTGCGATACCTGCCAACAAGTAGGTCATGTGTAATCTTTGCTAAGTAGTACCACTGTTTTGTCCTTAAAGTGCATGACTTATGCAAGTTGGCTTTGTGTATAGAGTTTAAATATATTTTATTGAATAGTGTGGGAGCATCACTATCAGCATTTGGGAGATCCTAAATTCTGTATTTCTCACATGTAATCCCTTTTTTATAAAGCTCTATCTCAATGGGATTAGTTTTATATGCTAAATATTTTCTGTTGGCAAGAAAATTAATGCATCAAAAGAGATTTTAGACATAAGAACGGAAAACTAATGAAATATTTCTCACCTTTCGTCCCTCTGTCCACTTTTAGTTTTTCTCAAGAACAGACCGGTTACTGAAGCACAAACGGACATGTGGAGAAGCCATAAAGAAGGGCCTGGACCCAAACATGCTGGAGCTCAGCGAAGCGGAGCTCGGACAGGGCAGCTATTCACACACTCAGGGAAACCCTACCACCTCCGGACGCAAGAGGGCCAAGTCCAAAAACGGCGAGGGCAAGAAGAAGAAGAACGCATCGGCGGCATCGGCGTCAGGGGGGATGCCCCGTGACCTGGGTCTGCAGGACTTCAGCATGGAGCATCCCTCAGGCTCCGGCCCCAACTCGCAGGGACGCGCCCCGAAGTTGGTCTTTAAGAAAGCCGGCCGCAAGGCCCAAGACAAGGGAATGCTGTCTATGGACGATGGAGCTGATGGACAAAAACGGCTGTGCCAGAAGCCCGACTCCATGGATCACTCGGAGGTTACCGGCCTCGATAACATGGGTCTCCTCCAGGGAGGCGGGGGCAACAAGCAGGGGCCCACCACCAGCAGCAACTACGACGACGCAATGCAGTTTGTGAAAAAGCGGCGCTACCTCCACGCCGTTAACAATGACTATGGAGCCGGCTCACTGCACATGGCGTCCCAGGGCGGCGGTGTCATCCAGGGCTCCTTGGGGCCCGAGCCCACGCTGGCCATGCTGGACTCCTCGCCTTTGGACCTCAAGCACGACAAGTCAGGCATTCCAGATGAGGTACTGCAGAGCCTGCTGGAGCATTATAGCCATAAGCCGGAGGGGACACACCACCACGACGTGACTTTCGACCTGTCGGACCACCCGCATCACGTGGACCTCCAGCCCGCAGCCCCCGTGACCCCCGAGCTGGAGGACGACTCTCCCAACGGTGGTGACAAGACGGCTGTGATGAGCGAGTACTCAAAGTTCCTCCTGCAGGCCCTGGAGCGCACCAGCCACAGTGGGCCATTCCCCAGCCTTGGCCCCACGGGGCCTTTCCCACTCCTGTCCAGCAGCTCCAGCCCCACGGGGCCCCTGTTCTCAGACAAACACGTGTACACGACGTCCCCGCTGGATTGCGTCTACCCACCCGCTGTCTCCTCGCCACTTCCCATCGTCGCCCCTCTATCAAACTCCTCCTCGTCCTCCTCCTCCAAGTCCCACTATGCCATGCTGGTCGGCTCCCCCTCCCACGCGGGCTACCACCTCGGCTTGGAACCCAGCAGCCACCAGCAGCTGACTCCATCCCAGGAGCTGACGGAGCAGCTGGAGAAGCAGCACTCCCCCGGCACCTTCAACCTACCTCCCCAGGACCTGACCGCGTCAGCAGAGGGCTCCAAGGGGCAGCAGCCCAAAGCCGGGGGGAACGCCGTACCCACCAACGGTTCCAGTTACCCAGACCTGTCCCCGCTGAACCCCCCCAAGGAAACCACGTACCAGATCGAGAACTTCGCCCAGGCCTTTGGGTCACAGTTCAAGTCTGGGCGGGTGACCCCTCTGAGCTACAGCAGTGACCCCGGGGCAGAGGTCGACCACCGAATACGGACTCCAGTGTCGGAATTCTCAGGGTATACCAGTTTGTTAGCGGACGTCGGCGAGCCAGTGAGTACAGGATCAAAAACCCAGACAAGCCAAAGTTTCAGATAAGGTGTCAAACAAGGTGGATCCGCTAGGGGGCTGTCCCGTTTCTGTCCACAGTCCCTTCCTAATTTTGTTCTTGTAGCAAAGTTTGTTTTTAAACACTGCCATTAAATGTTAATACAAAAATGACCAGGGAGGGTCTTTCATGGCCTCAAATGCAATTTTTAAATATTCTCATTTTTATTATGTATTTAGTCGCTTATTTTTTTGTTTAAGAGTAGTGATTTTGATATGAACATACCGTAGATTTAAATGTAATTTAAAACATTTAGAGGGTAGCTATGAACTTGCTTGATTTTCTTTCTTTTTTTTTTTTCAGAACCCTTGTGTTTTTGTTTTATCAATCATCAAACCATTGTAAAGTAATAATGAATAATGTTGAGAACTTCAATAATAACATTTGTTGCAGGGAAAGGCCCAGAATTCAAATTGCAAAAAAGTATATATTGTCTGTTACAAGAAACATTAACTCAGGAAAAAAGGCAAAATTGTGTAATAAGACTTTGTATTATGAGATGCAATTAGCACAGTTTCTACAGGTGTACTTTGAGACTACAAAGCTTTGCTTTTGTGTTGTTTTTTTTAACTCGTCAACAACAACATATTACAACAAATGATCACGTTTTGTTTCTACTGCATTGTTGAGATCATGGTACTGTTGTCAATGTGAAGACATCCACCTTTTCTTCTGCGAGCCGCGTGGCCACGAGCCAGTGGACGCCGTGGTGGAGTTCAGCGTGTTCGTTCTCGAGTGACGAGGATGTTCGAGCGGAACCGAATGTCAGCCGGCGGCGCCCGTCTGGTCGCGCGCTGCTGCTCGCGTTCTGGCCAGTAAAAAAGAAAACAAATACTCAACTCATTGCTGTTGTGGCCGTCTCAGAAGGCAATGAACATCCACCCCTGATCTTTTTATCATGTTGCTGAATTGGTTTAATTTTCATCATTATTAATTTTTTTTTTAAATCACCACTTTTCTACTCCAATCCTTCCCGTTCCTTCTTGTGTCAATGGAATCAAACAAGCACTTTTTTAAAACAAATCATCGGAAGCAACAACCACCCATTCAATTTGCAAATGTGATACGTGATTATTATGCTGATGCTTATTATTTTAAGGAGAAAACTGTGAACTGGGGGGGAGGGGGGATTATTGTTTAATGGGTTTTGATAGGGGTTGACTAGGCATGACCATGGGTGTCTAAATGTATTTTGTGGCTTTTTCTCAAGGGTAGAAGAAGAAGAAGGGGGGTGGGAGGGGATTTTTTTTTTCTTACGGTTTATCGGGTGATGTAAAAAGATGATCTGCCATAATTTTGTTATACAATATTTTGAGTACCTCTTTGTATTTAAGTGTTTTTGAGAGCGGGGCTGACATGCTGGAACCCTTGTACCTTTGAGCCCGTGGGTATGCTGGATGCAACCCGAACCCTTTTATTTATTCTCCACCAGCCACAAGAGAACTTTACTGGCAAGCAATCGCCTGACCTGCACCCTTACTCCATATTCCATCTACGCAACGGTTTTCTTTATCCTCACTGTTGCAGTAATTGCAAGAAACCGCTTCAATAACAGTTAAGAAACAGAAAATGTAAGTTATTCCCGCCCATCGGCCCAAAATGCAGCCCTGCACTCACGAGAATAAACAATGGCCTTCTTTGTCTTCCGTGGCTGAAGCCATTTTATCCCGGCAGCCAGGGTTGATATTTAATTTAGTTGATTTCCTGTGAGCCGCCCCCCTTACTCCCCCCCCCTCCTCCCCTTTTCCTACGCCTGTGAGCTCCACAGCCAAGAGACTTTGAAGCTGTTCAGATCGCAGGGAACAAAGACCGACCACTTCACCCCACACACACACACTATGCTTTTAAAGGAGAGAAAGAGTGGGTGAGAGTTGGAGAAAAACAAAAGACAAAAAGATTGACCTAAATATACCTCATATCACTAAAGCGTAAGCAAGCAGGGACATGCGTTTCATGTATGTAGTGGAAATATTTTGTAGTATAGGTTTTGACATATTGTATAATCATTTAACACTGCCTGTGTTTACAATTATAGAGCAACGGACTCGTCGAAATGGAAATGTATTTTTTTTTTTTTCTTTCGGTTAAAACATTCACGCCAAGCAGTGTTGCATTCTAGATGCCTCATAGAACATTCATTTCTCTCAATTATATCCCTTATTTTTGTTACTTGCCATTACGTGTTTTGATATGATCTCTAGAAGGATATTGTTTACAAAAATGTACAAAAACACTAAAATGTGTGTTCTCAATTTCTTTTGCATTTTTTCTCCGGTATGCATGATAAAGGCATTTTTTCGTATGGCATTTTTTCTGACACTCACCTCAATACCAAATTTTGTAGCAGAGGCCTCCCCATCCCCTTGTCTTATTTGTTCTAGACCCCCTTGTGATATGATTTCCCAGGCTGTACCTGTTATTGAGATGATGAACGGATTAGAGAAGTCAATAAAAACTTTTTGTTACAAAAGAGTACACCGTGTGTGATTGTTGTTGAAACTGTTGTTGTGAATATAATTGTATAAGTAGCTGAAACTGAAATAACAACTAACTTAAAATAAATCAGATTCCCCGATACTAAAATAAAATAAGTATTAGGCATTTAAAAAAAGGTTTGTGTTCTTTGGCAATGCTAGTTGTTCATAAGCTTGAGTTTCCAGGAAAAGATTTTAAAACTGATAAATTACATTAGAGCATGAAGATATATAAAAAATGCTGTGCATTTGTAAAGGTAAATAAGGTTTTGTAATTCATATTTTTCAGCCCAGTCACCTTCGATAGAGGCTGAAATAAAAGTTTAAATTGCCAGAAATACGTCTTGTTTCTGAACTTTTGGTTAGAAGATCTGAACACTATTCTGCTTATGATAAAAACATAAAATTGTTCATGCTGATGAATGTAATTATGAAAAGTGTACACTGGAGTAATCTCATGGGTAACCCATATAAAAGGGCCTTTATGTAGTTACATTTCGGCAGTCTTTTATAACATATTTTGAAATGATAGTTTTAAAAAAGTTGGCAAATATTTGTATAAGTTACACTTTTAAAGAGTTAACTGCCCCTGCCGCTAGAATACATGAAGGAGACTCTTTATGCAGTTAAAGCTTTGGTTTCGACAGATACAGAAGCCGGCGGATAACACTGACTAGCATTCTCATGCGTGCACCTTGCTCCTACTTTGGGTTTTACAGTGTGCCACGTGACCCCTGCGGTGCTAAAAGGCTTTTATTGATGGGGCTGATCTCCCGTATCTCCAGCTAAGGGACAAACAAGCCCCATCCCAAATGTTTTAGTTTCAAGGCCATTTACCATAAGCACGATATTACCCTTGATTGAATCTTACACTAATTGTCATGTGCAGATATTGTAGAAACAGATAATTGGAAATAGCCCAATATTAATGCTCTAGTTGGATTATAAAGCACAGATTGTGCTCACATCTCGCTGGCTGCCTTTCTTGATGTCAACACCTCTTGTAATCGCTTGTGAAAGCATTTCTGAGGAGACTTTCAGTCAATGACAAAATATGTGCTGAAACACAGGCGACAGATCGATGGAAACGCCTGAATAAATGACCCATGACGCTGCAGTGCAATCGGTTTCGAAACACGTCCCCCTCCTCTCAACCTCCCTTTTGTTTATTTCGCTCAGTGTCTTGTTAAATAAAACGGCTCCTCCCTGCCGTCACGAACATCGTGTTCAAATCGGAATCAAAGCCGTCATCGCCGGGAACAGCAGGGAGGGTCTGGCTGAGGACGGCCATAACTAAGTGACTTTGGACTTAAAGGTGACACAGAGGCTGTTGGTGCGCTGTCATTGCGCCCATGGCGACCCGTTGCAACATATTCATAAAACCTGCCGCTGACAAATGTAGCTATGGGATGTCCACAGGAACATCCAGCAATAACGCATTTCTCTCCTCTGAAACAAACTGTTTTACTAACGGGATGTTAGGCCGATCCCAAGTTACGACATTTTTAAATAAATTGACTATTGATTAGTAAAGTGGGGACAATTGTGTGATTGTTGTTGGGTGGAAAGTAGGGAATATTGTTGGAATGATTCAAATATGTATTTAAATGTTTACATGCATGACTGAACTCAAAAGTCTGACATACAGATTGTATTGTCGGTTTCTGAGTTAAATCAGACCTAATCCAACTGATTTAACTGATTTAATAAAGCCCAGAAGAAGAGGAGGATCAATTCCATTTTCCAAAGATTCTAAAATATATTTTTCGATTGAGTATTGGTATTTATTTCATGTGGAAGCCTTCACATTTCATCCATATGTTCTTTTGGCTCAAATGAATGAACACCCATAGACACCAGCCCTTCAACCATTTCTCCTTTGTTTAAAACATACCTGTTCTTATCTTGATCCAATTTCTACTGATCTTTCGATTAAAGCAGTATAATATTCCGTGATGACACAAGACTTATATTATATTGGTTCAGACACGCAGCTTGGATCAAAGTCAAATCGGAGATATTTTCCTGGCTGTGATGGAATGATCTGTTCTGATTGAAATTTGGATTTATTTTGCAGTATTAAGTGGAAAATGTAAAACAGATTTCTAATGTTCCACAAAGGAAGTTAATGTCCTATCAACCAGATTTTATAGCTGTTGTAGGTATTATACACCAATATTTTATTGTCTCACATCTTCTGATGTCTTTGTATCAAAGGTCACATTATTCTTCCATCCACCCAGTTTTCCGTTTAAATCCTTGATGTCATAAACACATAAAAAGGCCGACAAGGAATGTAATCTTTGTCCCTCCCATTCATCACGCCCTCCATAAATAACGCATGAAATGTTCTCCATGCTCTGGAAGAAGCTGAACTTTTTCTTTGTAATTGTCCGAACAGACATGCGCTGTTTGTCAAAACAGTGAGGTTGTATTTGGGTTTTCAGTTATTTTTGTTCCCATTCTGTTTCCCACGTTTTCAGCTAAGGCGATGAGATAAGCCACGAAACAACGTTGGCCAAACACTGTAACATCTAAGACAGTTGATTGAGTTAAACAAGCAATGCCGTTGTAATCCGTTACAATTTACCAGAAGACATTTTGTTAAATGAACATGAAACTGTTGAGTATTGGACAACTCTTTTTGGTTAAAAGCTTGTAAACCCCCCAAAATGGTAATAATTATTAGCCCATCGTGTTGACATTGTTGATCCAGGCACAATGCAAACGTAGAACAAAAGTCACCTCTGCCCTTAATTCTGTCATTAACTCCTTAGCTGTATAATTCATGCATTCTGCTTTCATGAACCTTTCAACAAATGCTTGCTACTCAGAGTAGAAAATAGCAACTCTAAATTAGGAACACAGAAACAAACCACTAAGACGCTGCACTAAGTTATTCAATGTATTTGTTTCAGAATCAGAATCAGAAGCCATTTATTGCAACATGTGTTACAGTGGAATTTGACTTGGTGCTTTGGTGCAATATAATAAAAAAAAGTAAGATTAAAAATTTATATAAAAGCAAGAATAATAATATAGACAGATAAGCACGTTAAAACGCATATGTGTGTCCATACGTTTCCATGGTGAGAGAAACCACTGTTCTTTGGTTACGATGCAGGAAAGACCTTTAGTCAAAGAGGGCACTGGCAGAATACAAATTGTTTGTGAAACCCAAGCTTTAACACAAATCGTATTCCAAAATCTGTTTTTAAAATATCTTCTCAATTTTTTTTTATAACGACAACTAAGCAAGAGGTTTCTGAGATAAATGAATGCTAAACCTTCCAGATCCTTTGTTAACGAACATTATTGCCAGCGCCTCTTTGGATTTTCTCAATCACAACTGACAGTAGGTTTTGTTCATGGTTGCTATAGTAACCCCTGGCTCGTTATATAGCTCTTCTACTTACTCACGTCTTGAACATTAACAGAAACAAAATAAGAGCAAGGGATCTATGTCATGGAAGATTGATGTACAGATAAATGTCTTCTCAGAAAGAAGGCCCACCGAGTCATCTTCTATGGGCGGGAAATGTACTTTAGCACCCAGTGCCGCCCTCGGAGGAGTGGCTAATGATTAAAACACCTGAGCCCTAAAGCCCCGTCCAGTCATAGCCCTCTCTGTCGTTCTTGCTTGTCAGTGACTTTTTTTTGGATGGCTCAAGAAATGAAACCGTTTTTTGTCCTTTGGGTGGTTGTGGCCTTTTTTGGTAAGTTGGCATGTTTTCTTTAATATTCACTCTAAATCCTAAACATTCACTACCCAAAGCAGAGATACATGCAGGCCGCGGACACAGTTTAAAAATGCTTTTATTAGATAGAAGTAGATAAGATAGAAGAGAAGATGAAACAGAAGTAAAACAGATTTATTGTATTATATGTTGTCTAAATCTAAACCAGTGACACTGTGATATTGCAGACCGAGGGCTGAGCATTTGTCCTTGTAACTAGTGTACCTATCAACTGCTTGGTGTTTTCATATTTAATGTCTTTTGTCTCACTTTTGTCAATTTTAAAATCCAGCTAGTGAGAAATAGGCCGTTAAAATAAAGGCACTTAATTGCTTCAACCTTGGCTGTACAACCATTAATTTTTTTAGCTCGGGATTTGCTTTGTTTGCACGTCAAATGTTAATATTTAACTATTGCGTTGATGCAGGCAATCTGACCTCACCTTACGACCCTGTTATTATCGTACCATCCTTTAGGAGTCTATTCCAATAAGGAAGTATCTTTGTTCCCTTAACACCTGATGTTGAGTGCAAGCTTTATAAGTTTAAAGCCCAAATGAGCATTAGGATGTGGATGTAGGAACAGCTATTCATGGTTTTGGGGTCTTTTCCTAACATGCTAAAATGTTTCACAGATTTTGTTTTCAACGATATGTCAATGACACAAATTCACCGTTTCAGTGTGAATGTGTCTATTTTCTTGTGACACCTCAGTGCCTACTAATAACAATTCAATTATAACTACTTTTATAACAATAAAACCTCAATGCACAGCCTTCAACATACTGAACGGCTACACCTTTAAGATGTAATTCTCTTTGCTATGATTAGTCCTTTTCAAGAAAAAATAATGGCGGTTAGCCTAGCACTGGATTCACAAGTTGCATGACATGATCGGTGCATGTGTCTTCTTGGATATAATTAAAAGTATGTCTTAAAATAGAATAGAATTTTGTTTGACATGGTCCCCCCTGCTTGTTTGATTGGCTTGATTGGCTTACCCTGATATTCCTATTTTAACTGTAACCAATCCTCATTTCTAAACCTAACTAACTCGGCCAATAAGAGCAATTAGTAAAAGCCAGAGTAGGGCAGCTCATGGTTTTGACATCCTAGGAAAAAAGACAGCAGACAACAAGACATAAGGGTACTTGTAAACTTCTAAAAATCAGTACAAGGGAGCGCCACATGGACCTATAGTCATCTGTATTGTAAAGATGTACATCTTTCCATCTCAGCATATTATTTCATGAAGATACAAAAGCTGGCATTAGGTTTACAATTTTTAAGGAAGCAGGGTGAATATATACGTCATTCTCTCTCTCTCTCTAAAATGACGAATCCTAATTTTTCCCTATCGGCACTAAGTTTATTATAGGATATTAATTACTGCATTTGTACCCATCTCCACAGCAACTCAGAGTGGCACAACAGATGCGACGTCTAGTACCGGAGAACAAACAGCAAGTGCGGACCTCACACCTGTAAAAGCTACAAAAACAGGTGCGGCGTTTACAACTATAGAACCTAAAACAGCAGGTGCAGAAACTACAACTGTAGAATCTGTAACAACAGGTTTAGTGAGAGAAATTGTAGATTCTACAACGAGCGCGACAATTACAACGGTAGAAACTGTAACAACCGAGGCGGCGACTACAACTGTAGAAACTGTAACAACAGGTGCGACAATTACAACTGCAGGACCTATAACAACAGCTGCAGCGATTACAACTGTAGATCCTGTAACAACAGGTTTAGCGATTACAACTGTAGAACCTAGAACAACAGGTGCAGCGACTACAACTCTGAAAGCTGTAACAACTTTAGAACCTGTAACGACAGATGGCGCAATTACAACTTTAGAACCTACAACAACAGGTTCGCCGATTACAACTGTAGAACCTACAACAACAGGTGCAGCGACTACAACTCTGAAAGCTGTAACAACTTTAGAAACTGGAACGACAGATGGCGCAATTACAACTTTAGAACCTACAACAACAGGTTCGCCGGATTACAACTGTAGAACCTACAACAACAGGTGCAGCGCCTACAACTGTGGAACTTGTAACAACTTTAGAACCTGGAACCACAGGTAGCGCGATTACAACTTTAGAACCTACAACAACAGGTTCGGCGATTACAACTGTAGAACCTACAACAACAGGTGCAGCGACTACAACTGTGGAAGCTGTAACAACTTTAGAACCTGGAACCACAGGTGGCGCGATTACAACTTTAGAACCTACAACAACAGGTTCGGCGATTACAACTGTAGAACCTACAACAACAGGTGCAGCGACTACAACTGTGGAAGCTGTAACAACTTTGGAACCTGGAACCACAGGTGGCGCGATTACAACTTTAGAACCTACAACAACAGGTTCGGCGATTACAACTGTAGAACCTACAACAACAGGTGCAGCGACTACAACTGTGGAAGCTGTAACAACTTTAGAACCTGGAACCACAGGTAGCGCGATTACAACTTTAGAACCTACAACAACAGGTTCGGCGATTACAACTGTAGAACCTACAACAACAGGTGCAGCGACTACAACTGTGGAAGCTGTAACAACTTTAGAACCTGGAACCACAGGTGCCGCGATTACAACTTTAGAACCTACAACAACAGGTTCGGCGATTACAACTGTAGAACCTACAACAACAGGTGCAGCGACTACAACTGTGGAAGCTGTAACAACTTTAGAACCTGGAACCACAGGTAGCGCGATTACAACTTTAGAACCTACAACAACAGGTTCGGCGATTACAACTGTAGAACCTACAACAACAGGTGCAGCGACTACAACTGTGGAAGCTGTAACAACTTTAGAACCTGGAACCACAGGTAGCGCGATTACAACTGTAGAACCTACAACAACAGGTGCAGCGACTACAACTGTGGAAGCTGTAACAACTTTAGAACCTGGAACCACAGGTGGCGCGATTACAACTTTAGAACCTACAACAACAGGTTCGGCGATTACAACTGTAGAACCTACAACAACAGGTGCAGCGACTACAACTGTGGAAGCTGTAACAACTTTAGAACCTGGAACCACAGGTAGCGCGATTACAACTTTAGAACCTGGAACCACAGGTGGCGCGATTACAACTGTAGAACCTACAACAACAGGTTCGGCGATTACAACTGTAGAACCTACAACAACAGGTGCAGCGACTACAACTGTGGAACTTGTAACAACTTTAAAACCAGGAACCACAGGTGCCGCGATTAGTACTTTAGAACCTACAACAACAGGTTCGGCGATTACAACTGTAGAACCTACAACAACAGGTGCAGCGACTACAACTGTGGAACTTGTAACAACTTTAAAACCTGGAACCACAGGTGCCGCGATTAGTACTTTAGAACCTACAACAACAGGTTCGGCGATTACAACTGTAGAACCTACAACAACAGGTGCAGCGACTACAACTGTGGAAGCTGTAACAACTTTAGAACCTGGAACCACAGGTGGCGCGATTACAACTTTAGAACCTACAACAACAGGTTCGGCGATTACAACTGTAGAACCTACAACAACAGGTGCAGCGACTACAACTGTGGAAGCTGTAACAACTTTAGAACCTGGAACCACAGGTGGCGCGATTACAACTTTAGAACCTACAACAACAGGTTCGGCGATTACAACTGTAGAACCTACAACAACAGGTGCAGCGACTACAACTGTGGAAGCTGTAACAACTTTAGAACCTGGAACCACAGGTGCCGCGATTACAACTTTAGAACCTACAACAACAGGTTCGGCGATTACAACTGTAGAACCTACAACAACAGGTGCAGCGACTACAACTGTGGAACTTGTAACAACTTTAGAACCTGGAACCACAGGTGGCGCGAATACAACTTTAGAACTACAACAACAGGTTCGGCGATTACAACTGTAGGAACCTACAACAACAGGTGCAGCGACTACCACTGTGGAAGCTGTAACAACTTTAGAACCTGGAACCACAGGTGGCGCGATTACAACTTTAGAACCTATACAACAGGTTCGGCGATTACAACTGTAGAACCTATACAACAGGTGCAGCGACTACAACTGTGGAAGCTGTAACAAC